AAGCACCCTGTGAGACAAGTCATGTTAATCTACTTAATTTGATTTTTTTTTTAAATACAATTGTTTCTTAATCTGTTTGTATTTCACTTCGAATTTCGGATCTCAACATCCTGTTGCTCATGTTGTTTCACGATCAGTATTGAAAATGAACGGAAAAGTGGTGAAATGCGCGAAACCATATATTGGATTACTCCAGTACGACACGAAGCCGCGATGTCGAGTCAGCTCCTATCTTATCAATTTGAATAAAAAATTTTAAACAGGAAAAATATTATTCTAATCAAATTTCCTAATTTACTCTGTCTCCTCAACTGTAATAATTCAGAATCCAGGGTGCTTGAACAAATTGATCTGAAACTATGAATGAATTTGGTAGACAAAATAATCCAATCTTTTCACTTTTACTTTGTTATTTTTTGGGCTTGATAGTTTAGTCATAGAAAATGATTTAAGAAATAATTAATAAATATTAAGAATAACATATAGAAAAAGCATTTCTTGATATATTAAAAATGGTAAATAAAAATAGAAATTTATTTTTACAATAATCAAAAAGAAAAAGTTAAAAATAATATTAAATATTTATTGTATACGTTCCTAGTGTGGAGATAAACTTTCATGATTAATTCAATGAAATATCTTTCACCTCTCCTACTCCTAGCATCAATAACTAGTAATTGTGCTCACTAAAGAAATATGAAAAAAAATCACCTAATTTTTTTTAAGAAATTTTTTTTTAGCCAGATTGGTATTTTACCTATGTTATTTATCTTTTTGAATATTATATATTTTTTAATTAAAAATAGAAAAAATCAGTATTATTTTAAATTTAAAAATATTATAATTTTCTGATCATTTAACATTACCTTCTTTTTTCCCCCATTAAATTTAGATCGAATATTTATATTTTGAGCATGATAACAATCACTTTTGGGATAAACGGTTACTCACAAAAAAAGACATCATTAATTTCTTGGATTTAAATATTCACTTTGATTAGAATTTAATTAAGTAGTACTTCCTCACTTCAATTTATTTGCTCTATTTTAACTAGACATGAAGTATTCACTTTTATTTGTATTTTGCAGTAATATTATCTAGAACAATTCAACTATAGAAACATAATAAATAAACTATTCACACGATAGATGTCAATTTGTTTAAAACTAATAATTTTTTAAAACGGTTCATAGATTATTCAATGTATTTAGAAATATTAGCCACATTTTGTTAATTGTCATTTGTTGGTCAAGGTATAGGTGTTATCCTCATATTTAATTTTTGTTTTGTAAATTGTTTCATATGATATGATGAATGTGCATGCGTTGTCTGGGGTCTATTAAACCTGTTGCTAGCTTGTAAATAACCTTACCTTAATTTGTTGCTCACATCATATCCTTAAATTTGCACTAAAATTGATGTCCTCTCAACTTCATTTCTACTTCCTCGAAACTTCCTATTTTAGCATATTCTTCTTTATGGGCCCTCCCTTTTATCATTCTTACCTATAGCAGTTCGGATTTATTTGTCATGGTTTCTATTTTTAGAGTTAAATTATAAAAATTTTGACTGACATTTTAAGATGTATTTTTTCATCATATTAATATGCAAAAAATTATAATTTATAGTACTTTTCATGTATTTTTAGAATATCTAATTTTTTTATTAAATATATCAAATTAGTTTGATCTAATTTACGTTTGAAAATTAGTCAAGCGTAACATGACAAACAATTCCGGACGAAGGGAGTATCTATTTTCCTACCGATAATATGTTTGAGTTTTATTGATTCTGAATTTTAATTTTTTAGAATTAGTTAATTTAACTAAATAATTTTAAAATGAATACGAAATTTGAATCAAAGTTATTTAAATAAATATCGTCACAGATTTAAATTTAAATTATTAATTTTTTTTAAATAAATATAAAATTTGAATCAAAATTATTTAAGTTCCGTCGACAAACTCGTACCATAAACAATATCTATCCTGCCCAAAAAGAAGAAGAAGAAGAGGGGTAGGTAGTCTATTTTTTTTTTTAGAATCAATTATAGGACCATGTAAAATTTAAGGCTGAAAACAATATCATATCAATAAGAGAAGTAAAGTGAAGATATGGCAGTTTGAAGTACGTAGTTGATGCTGATATCATACAGTATATGTATGTATATATATTATATATTGTCTTTTGTAATAGTACTAAACTTTAACTACTTATTGTGACTGAAATAAATGTACTTTAGAGTAACATGTCCTCCATGTGCAATATGGAGGGACACATAGATGAAATTGTGATAATTTGTACATGGACCACCTCCTTTTTTATCATTCTAGTAATTCCACTGTCACAATTTACGTACCACTCAATTATTTTTATTTCAATAACAAAAAATTATAATAATTTTTTTTTCTTAAAACAATGGTAACTAATGTATTCGACCTTATTATTTTTTGAGAAACTCATTTATGTTTTTACATAATAAATAACTTCAATATATCTAATTATATCAGCACTATTTTTATACGACCTTTCGAACGAATCTTTTAAAAGGGGTATCTAAGTAAAGCAAAAGAAGACAACATAGAATAGAGTACGTAACATCAATAAAGGGTTGATAGATATGTGAATCACTTTCTTAGCCTTTGAACATGCTGAAAGATAATAGTGTCTCTAACTTTGCTTCTATTTTTTTTTTGTGTGTGTGTATTCTTTCATAATCGAGCCAAAATTTGTTTGGGAATTTAATTCAATTCTGTGGTGATCATATTGGACTTTGAAATGGATTTCATTATCTGAAAACTACTACTCATCACAAAATTAAAGGACCACTTTGAACAAGGATAATATATTCCCAAAATCTTATTCTAGTTCTACTAACTCTATATCATTTTCATCAACTCGCAAGCCAAAATTGCTTGACCTTTTCTTTTTTAGCTTTTCAAAAAATAAAAAACCATTAACGGTCTAAGCTGACTAATGAGATGTGTGGACTTTTTATAAAATTTGGACAATCATTCTTTCTATGAGCTAACTTTTGGGTGCGAGCAAGACTCAAGATCTATTTAACAGGATTAAAATTGGTGACATTGCAACTCAAATTAAAACAATTTAGCCATCGATATGTCGAACAAGTCAAAATTACCGCTAAATTATCATTCAACGTCTGCAATAAATTACAAAATTTTAGATTGTAATTAAATATTTTTCATGAGATTTTCTGTTTAGTCGAAAGATTCTTTAAGACCCTAATTGTAATTAAATACCTCATGGAGTAGCATCGTGATTAAATACAGGAAGAATAGATTTATTCTAAGTAAACGTAACTTGTCGGAAACCTAAAAATTAAAAGTCACCGTTTAAATTGGAGTTTCTTAAGTTTTTTAATATTTCGTACAGTACTTCTGTATTAATTAATTAAAAATGTAAAGTACGGGAGAATGAGTTAGAAAAAAAGTGATTAAGCAAATACAAAATCACATGATTCCAATTATAATACATTGGTTTTACAGACTAATCCAAAATATTGCTTAATCAATTACCTTGTTAGTTGGAAAAGTTTAACATTTGTGTAAAGAAAGGAATCCATAGGACGGAAAAATCAAAAGGTATTTCTATAAAAAAAAACTTATTACATCTAATAAAAAAATTAGGTCTCGCCTTGGCTTATAATTCAAAAGTTAGGTTAAAATAACCATGAATGATCAAATCTTATAATAAATTCACTCATATCAACATGAAACTTTTGTCATTCTGTTATATCTAAAACACAATTTTTTGCATCTTATGCATAAATAAATATATTTTTGAGGTCAATATTTAGTGGGGTGAATTCTGCTTTGATACCGTGTAAAATTAGAGCTCATATCCTAAAATTAAATTAAATTTTTTTTTTTATCTAAACATTATAAGAAATCACACATCTGATTAACAAATTTTTATCTATTGTTTAAACAAGTAAACTTTTCTTCTAAAGTAGTATCTGAACAGAATCAAACAAAATCAGAAACCAAACATTCACTAAAAACCAAACATTTTCTGAAAAAGAAAGGTTCGTATTTGGTACTTGTCAGTACACTTATTTTGCTCGTCCGTGATTTGCCCTTTGGTCTTCTTTAAAGATCAATCTAATTTATCAATCTCAATGTTTTTGTTCAAACTAATTTATGTAATATAATTATGTACGTCACATTGTCATTGAGAAACGTTCAAATTAGGGGGTGTCAAATGGACAGTTTGAGCTGAAATTGAAAATATTATAATGGATTGAGATAGAAGTCGGATTGACTTTTGACCATCATCCCACCCCAAGTTTACTTTCGGCTTAAAAACGGGTTGGGTCTTGATCCGCCTAATTTGAACCGATTAATCTCACTAATTTAACATATTGATATTTAACTTTTATAACTAAAATTTGAATTTTAGCTCAAATTTTTTTTTTTATAAAAAAAGTAACAAATGGATAGATAAACCCTAAAAGATGCTAAATAGATAATAATTTATACCTTAAATATAGAAGCATATCTTAATAAAAAATTTTAAAACGGATTGAAATTGAAGATTGAATTGAGCTCAATTGAAGATTCTCTTCAAATTAGTGATGCTTGAATGAGTTGAAATTGAACCGAATTCAAATTATCTTGAGCTCAACCCTTAAAATTCTGAATGAGTTAGGCGGATTATCTATGTTTGGGTTCACTTTTGACACGCATAGTTCAAATTAAACCTCATGATAGTACGTACCAATGGATTTCTTTCATTATTCAATTTGGTACGAAATATTAAAACTCGATAAACTTTATGAGAGGTATAATTTATTCTTTTTAAAAAAGAATATCATTATTATCTTTATTTATAATTATATTCTACAATCTTCAAACTTCACTACATTATATATTATTTTTATTGTTTTGGTTAAATCTAACAAGTAGAGTTTGGTAAATAAATATTTTAGGTAAAATTACAGCCAAGTGGAATTAGAAGGGGTCCTCTTTGTCACTAGGAGAACCAACATGGAACCATAACACCCTATGGGCTTTGGCCCCTCACATTGTCCTATTCTTTCAAATCCACAGAAAATAAAGATAGTAGGGGCCAATTTTCCTTCATAAATACCTTCATCATATTCCAAACATACCAAAAAAATAATAAAAAGTAGTCTATTTCTTATTACATACCAAAATCTCTCAACTTTCTACAAGAAATACATACCAAAATGGCTAAGCTTCCACAAGTTGTACTATTGAAGCAAATTTTGAAAAAGTGTTCTAGTTTGAGCAAGAAGCATGAAGTCCACTTTCCAATTGACGTACCAAAAGGACATTTTGCGGTTTACGTTGGAAAGAATAGAACACGATACATCGTACCTATTTCTTTCTTGACTAATCCTGAGTTTCAATGTCTCCTTCGTTGCGCTGAGGAAGAATTTGGCTTTAATCATGACATGGGAATCACAATTCCTTGTGAAGAATTCATTTTCCAATCACTTACTTCCATATTGAGATAGTTAACTATTTGGAAACAAGAAAAAGTGTTCATAGCTAATTTTGGAGTGAAGAAAGATGTTTGTTTGTTCAAGATGAAGCAAGTTAATCTTTTTTTGCTTCTCTTTTTTGTAACATCATTCTTTACTCTCTTTTTTTTGTGAGTTTCCTCTAACCCTGACCTAGGAATCACTATATGGATATTAGTAATGTTTTTTTTTTTATTTCTAATGGGGGGTTAGTTGGGAATTTTTTCCTTGTAGTGGTGTTCTTAAGCACCCTATGAGAGAAGTGAATTCAATGTTTCTTAAATGTATTTAATTGTCATTTTTGGATACATTTGTCTCTCAAATTTTCTATACTTCTAATGCATCTTATCTATTTTTTAATCCAATTGAGCATATTGAAATTGGTATTAACTAAGAAGTTCCACGTCGAAAAAGAGATGGAAAAATTAGTGAATTTTGATCATCCTGACTCATAAACTAACTTTTAAAGTTAAATCAGACCAGAGATCTATCTTTACAGATTGAGCAAAAGCAATGATATGAAATTATGAATGACTTTGACAAACATAACGTTAAGTATTTTGCATGTGATGTTGCTAATTCGATGTTCGATATTTATTTTGAACACGACTAATTTAAATTTATATTAAAAAGTCTCATTTTGGACGGGATACATTATTCCCTACCAAAGATGAACTAGCTAGAATTTAAATACAAATTTTCTAATTAGGAATGAATTGGTACTTACCACCAAACTGCAACATTAACACAATGTTCTTGAACTAGCTTTTGCCTAGTGTTTATTAGAAAATCTAATACCAATCTTTTATAAAAAAAATTTATTATAAACCAAATACTATTAACTAATTGAATCTAGGCAAAAACCACAAATTTCAAATCATCAATCCACCTATGGCTGTTAATTCACATTTTCACAGTTCTTAAATCTTAATAATGGAGCGCATATGTAATTAGGGATAGGGTGTATTATATCCCTTTGATTTAACTATGTTTATTTTGATACGTTTTATCCTTTTTAGCTCTCTTTTATGTAAGAGTATTTAGCAAGTATTTGAATTAATTTAATTTAATGTAATATTAATAATTAGTCAAATTGTCTCTCGATACCATTCGAGAATTCATTTGTTGCTTAAGGTATATCTGGAATTCGTATGAATGGGCATACATTGACAGACAGATCTTTTTCCTTTTGGGAGGGTACTCCGAGTAGTGGGTGTCTCGTAGGACCTCGACCCTCCTATTCTGGAGTCTATTATAAATGTTTCTGTTGCTAGCTTATAAAACTCTTTGTTGGTTACAATATATATAAAGTCAGATTCAAGATTTAGACTTTTTACGTGCCAAATAAATTCATAAATTAAATTAACATGGCTATGGATCAAATTATTCGTTGGATCTATATGACAAATCAATCATATTTGACTGAAATCACGAGTGAACAACGTTAAAACTTTCAATAATATAGCTATTACACATCACACACACACACACACATATATATATATATATATATATATCACAAATTTGAAGTGGTAAAGTTCCATACATCATGAGTATATTTCCTGGAAACTTCCTATTTTATCATATTCCTGTTTTCTGGGCCCTCTGTTTCTCTTTTTAACTCTCATATTTCTTATCCATGATGTCTAATATAGTATACTACATATATATATATATATATATACATACTAGTCTTCGCTCACGTGCAACGCACGTGTACCCTATTAATTAATATTTCATTTTTTTTAAATGACACAAGTATAAAATATATAAATGAGGCATAAAGTAGATTTTTTAGAAAAATAATCATAAACTTGAAACAATGAAGGGTGACATGTATACTCCAATTTTGTGAATTAATTGAAACGTCAAGTAATATTACCCTATTATCAAATATAGATATGAGAACCATATATTTATTCATTGGTCATTTGTATTACATACACTTGTATTATATATATGCATGACTTTTCAATTTAATTGGTACCATAAAAGTGAGGTTCAACCATATTATTTTAATTGTTACCATAAAAGTGGCATTACTACGATGACTTTATGAAAGTTAATGTCTCTATTATCCTATACTATGTGTTGACAGTAATAACTATATTTCTTAAAGGATGAAAAAGTTCGTCAAAGAACCAACAAAAATTGAAATCCCAAGATAAAAAAATAGAAAACTATCACATAACGTATAAAATTGAGCAATATCCTCGAGAATACATTTCAAAATTACTAAAAATAGTCAAAAAATAAATATAAAGAAACATTCAATGATACAACATATGAACAAGACCACACAAAAATAAAATAATAACTGTGTAAACCTCTTCTAGTCTAGATTGAAACCATAATGAGGCTAAGCATATCAAATACTATAAAACCAATAAAAAAGTTGATATTCAAAGAATACATCAAAATCTAATATTAAGAAAGAAGAATCAAAAGCAAATAACACTAAAAAGATCACACAAAATTAACAAATTGTATTACAGATTCTTAGCACAATTTGATGAAAACAAGATCAAAAACTTAAAGAAAACATATTAAAATACAATAAACAAAATCAAGATTAAATAAATAAAATAATAAAAAAGAAAAAACATAAAGATTTAATATGAATGAAATTACCTTTAGTGTCTATACTACTTTTTGTATATCTTTTCTCTATTAACAACAAAAGGTGATAAAGAAATAATTCACTGACACAGTCCCAAGCCAAAATTAAATTGATTTTGATAAAGAAGAATTGATATACACATTCATTAAGAAAAATACAACTTTTGGTCTTTCCTCTTCTTGTAACTATTTCCTAAAAGAATTTGAACCATTGTGTCTAGAGGCATGAATTTAAATAAAAAAAGATTATCTAATATTAAATTAATTATATATTAATATTTATTTAGTTTAGAGATAAAATAAGGACAAAATAGTAGTTCAACTTTTAAATTGAGAGCTTCATGCTTATAATAATATATGATATATATAAAAATTGTGAACCGACGATTACAATATCTTACCTCCGTGAAAATAATCCATGTTAAATCATTTATGAATTTAAAATTTATGAGTTTTGAAATTATAGCTTGTTAGAGTTACGAGTTTCTAAATATTCTGATGTCTACTATGGTAAAATAGAGCTACAATCAAAGAATGGTCCATTTATCTATTAAATAACACATACTATTTTCAACTCCCCTCAAATCCCTGGCCTCAAGTTTTATCATTTATAGAAACTATACTATGATCAAAATATCAGGAAGCATGGTCCTTGAAAGTAGGGTAAGTATGTTTTTTTTTCTTCAAAAAATCAATTATAGGCCCATATAAAATTTGAGGCTAAAATTTTGAGCATATGAATGACAGAGTGAAGTAAACAAGACAGTTTCAAAGAACGTAAATGATGTTGATATCACACATGGCCACAGTATTGTCTTTACTAGTACATTTGAGTTAAAACTTTATTTATAGAATTTAAATTCAAAATTAAATTTTTGTGTAAATATTATAATTTAATAGTATGATTTTAAATTTAAGCTTTAAATTATACGACTTAAAAAACATATTTTGGGTTGAAGAGAGTAACATGGCCTCCATGTGGTATGGGTCACCATCATACAACCCATAGATGGATGATATTTGTGATTTATTGATAATTTGTTGTATGTACACTTCTCCGTGCAGGGACCACTCATTCTTTAATTTCAAAAAAATAATAAAATATTACTACAGGATTAGGTGTGAATAATCTAAATATCATTTTCTTTTTAAAAAATATACATATACATGCAAATTAAAAGTAATCGATCAAAAGTTTTCCCAACTCAAAATAGGAAATCTTTGCATTTTGTTATGATTAGTAAGACTCGAAGCATGGGATTACAACGTCTGATACGTTTATCGTGACTTCACAGAAATCTTGAAGCACCACCACCCACCGCCTCATGCGGTGTAGTTAACTAACTATAGAGTTAAAAGGGACTCAATGTTCAAAATATCCTTCTCAAAGTAGAAATTGTTTAACTACTCAAATAGTAATAGTTTGCATACTATTACTTCAAGCACCTACAATATGCTCGATCTCTTTTTTGCATGTGTATTTCCCTCTTTTCATCCGCTTAAAAGTTTGCGTGTAATAATATTTTTGGTGTGTCATTTTATATGATAAAATTAAATTCATTCATATGCTTTTTAAATATTTCAAATTAATATTCCTTTTTATATAGTAAATTATTTTTACCAAATCTTACAAATTCTATCTCCAGATATATGATCAAAATAAAGAAATTTGACTTTTAACATTCTAACTTTGTTAGGTAAATCGAGAAGGAAGAATTAGAGAACATGGGTAAAGTGAAAAAAGAAAAGGTCATTTTTCTTTGACCATAAAATTGCTCTGTTTTCTTTTCTAGTTTAGAAAATTACTCATATTAGTTTACAGTATATACATTAGATTCTTTGAAAATCCAACAAGGTCTGTTCGTTTTTTTTTTCATAATTAATAAACGGTAAAAAATAGTTGTTATTACAAGGGAGGATCTGATGAAATAGTTGTTATTTGTTAAGATATGAAGGGCTTAACTCAACCTCTTCACCTATACTCTGATTCATATTTAAAAAATAAATTTTGATTGTAACTCAATCTAAAAATTAGTTAGAGGATTGCTCAAATCCATCTAAGCAAATCACCCGCTGTCTATTTTCCAACTAATGAGGAAATTTAACTGATATTTTCGTAAATCCAATAACTTTTATCTAGACCATATATATATTTTTAAATAAATGATTTTTACATCTATAATTACATGAATTAGTTCAAAAGTTGAAACACATATAGAAAATCTAATTGGTACTATATATTAACTTAAGATCATTATAAAAATTCATCAACTATAGAATTCTGAATTTACTCTGCATTTATAAAAGACATAATGCCCAAGTATCCCCTCAACCTATGTCCGAAATCTCAGAGACACACTTATACTATACTAATGTCCTATTACCTCCTGAACTTATTTTATTAATAATTTTTTACCCCTTTTTAGCCTTCGTGGCACTATCTTGTGGGCCCAATGATGGTTGACTTTTTTTTTTCATACTAGTGTCACGTAGGCTTAAAAGGGATAGAAAATTGTTTATAAAATAAGTTGAGGGGTAATAGGACCTTAGTATAGTATAAGTGTGTCTCTGATATTTCGGACATAGGTTGAGGGGGTACTTGTGCATTTTCCGTTTATAAAATATCATCTCAACCATCTAATTAAAATCTTGAATAAACTAGTCTTATTAATTCTTGAGTGTGTCGTACTTATGTAAGGAAAGTAACACATCAATAAAGGATTGATAGGTACGTGGATCTATATCTCAGCCTTAGAACATGCAAGCAATTGCTAATGTCTCTAACTACCCTTTTTTCCCCCTCTACTCTCATAATAGGGCCAAAGGCTTTGTTTGGGAATTTTAGTTAATTCTGTGGTATCATATATATTAGACTTTGGATATATATGGGGCTCAATATTGTCTGTCTAGGACCACTTTGAAGAACGAAATCCCAATCTCAAATCTTTCTATCACCAACAATACAATGCGAGAACTCCATCAAAGAACACGACGAGATGAATAAGATATATCGATTCGTTATTAATATTTGAGTTTTAGTTCCTACGATGAAAGGAAAAACTTCTAATGTCACTTAACATGAACAATAACAATAACTTTTGACCGTTAATAAGCTGAGATGTCTGTATTAATACAAATCTAATAAAAGTATGTAAGGATTGTTTCTGGCAGTTGCGTAGCCACCTTATGTTGATCGAAAAATTATACCGTATATATAAATGTAGTGGCTAAATTACATATTTTAAACATCTTAAACAGAATAATATGATATAACCTAGTCACACGAACTTAAGAATAGCAAATTCACTTTTAGCACTTAAATATTCTTCGTAAAATTTCTAACTCTAGACACTAAAAATCGAACGAGTGAGAAGGCAAATTGGTTTTTAGGGAGAAATTCAAAAGAATCGGTTACATTGGTAGTTGGAGTTGGTTAAAAATTTATTGATTCACACAGAAAATCTTGGCTTAACTAGGTCTGAAAGATTCTTGTAAAATATTTGACGTTAAAAATCAAAAGATGATATATCTAGGATATTGTGAAACTGTCAATAACGATGTAAGTAACGGCTATGGTCAAACCTGCAAAAGTCTTTTGTTTGTACTTTTACGAGACTAGTGCACATGCCTTTCTTTTTTACTATCTTAATAGAATCAAAGAAAAAATTGAAACAAAACAATTAAAAAAAAACAAACACTATTCGAAAAAAGTAAGGTTCCTTTTTCGTACTTCTCAGAGTACCACTTTATTATTGCATGACCGGAGAGTTAATATCTTAGATGATCATTTAATTATATAATTTTTATTTTTAAGTGTAATTTATTTTTAATTTTTTATTTAAAAATTATTTAATTATGCATTTCTTTTTTAGAAATCATTTAACTTTTAATTTTAACCCAAAAATAATTAACTATTCACTCTTTTTTAAAAAAAGTCACTCAATCTATTTAATAATTTTTTATTATAATTTACTGATATTAATTGTTTATATAATAATTCAAATCTTTTTTTTCTATACCATTTAACCATTTAGTGATTCACCTACCTAACCGACCATTAAAAAATATAATATGAATCATTTTATTTTGTCTTTCATCCTAAATTATTTCCTCTCTTTTCCTCTACATTTTTTATTTTCATTCTCAATTGTTGGTGCCTCGCCAAAAAGAAAAGCAACAATGAAGAGTAAAAATGAAAAATGTGAAGGAGAAATAGAGAGAATAATTTAGGATGAAAGACAAAATAAACTGAGTCACATTATATTTTTTAATGGGTCGGGTTAGATAGTGAATCACTAAATAGTTAAAATGGTATTTTTTATTTTTTAAAAAAAATTTGGGTTGTTATATAAACAATTAATATAAGTAAATTTTAATTAAAAAACAATTAAATAGATTGAGTGACTTTTTGAGGAAATGGTGGATAGTTGAGTGATTTTTGAGTTAAAAGTCAAAGTTGAGTGATTTTCTAAGAAAGAGTGCATAGTTAAGTGACTTTTGAGTTAGAATTGAAAGTTGAGTGACTTTATGAAAGAAGAGTGCATAGTTAAGTGACCATCTAAGGTATTAACTCCTTGTGCGAGATATATCGTTCGCTTGATAATGTGTACAAAAATAGTACTCTCTTCGTTTTTATGTGACGATATTTGATCGAGTACGGAATTTAAGAAATAAATAAAGAATTTGAAATGTTTATCAAATTGTTCTTCAAAAAGCAAACTCACTTTTCTCTCTCTTGATAAATACATTTGAGTACTATTTTTAAAATTAAGTGGAACCAATAAGGGTAAAAAAGAAATTATACATTTAAATACTTAACATATAAGGAAATGTGACATTCTTTTTGGGACGAACCAAAAAAGAAAATGGTGTCACATAAAATGGACGAAAGGAGTATTAAATTAATAATGTTATTGTTATTAATTATGATGAAATTATTTTTGTGCACCGTTTGATTTAATTTAATATATAAAAAATAATATCTATTGAATAATTTCAAAAAACAAAAGACTATTTATAAAAATAAATATGTGAATAATATTTTGAGAAGCAATTATGTCTATATCAAAATTATGAAAATTATATGGTAGTGCTATTTAATCTAATAATTGAATTATTTTCGTATACAGAGACATTAAAAGTACTTAAAATGTAATTAGTAGTCCCACATGGGTTGTTAATTTATCTCATTATTAATGATGATAATAGTTTCTGATTATTTTCATTTTTTTGAACTAATTTTATAATGGAGTAATTAATCTTAATTCATATCTTATAATTAGACAATAAACAAACCTCCAAAGCCGAAAATTACAGAAAATAATTTACTCATAAATATCTACATATTCTGTACAATTCGACCTATAAGAATAGTAAGATACGATAGAACACACCTTCATTCATCATTATTAAAGATTTTAAATCCAAATTTTACAGGAAACATATTTCAATTAATTTAAATCTTAATAATTTTATAAATAAACTATTGAAAAAGAAAATGAAGAGAAGTGTTTGAGACAGAATGTTGGAAATAGAAACAAGTATCATTAATACTTGTTGTTGTTGAGACTTGTAACCTTCCTAGATCAGTGAAAGCCATGTTTCAAAAATATAAATTAATTTTTATTCAAATATCTTTATTTTAATGAAAAATGAATATTGGTAACTCTTGGTTAATTAATGAGAAGGGTCCTCATTGTCATAAATAGAACCAACATAGAACCCTAAAACCCAATGGGCTTTGGCCCCCACTTTGTCTATAACTCCTTTTATTCACTTATCCCAAAACACCCGTGTTAGAAAAATTTAAAAAATAAATTATTTTTTTAGAAAAATAAAAAAATAAAAATTGTGGTCTTTCCTCGATAAATAGCTTCACATTTTTCTATTCTAAAACATCAACCTCCTTCTTCAACCTAAACTTTCTTTAAGAAAATAATTTAATTATGGCTATTAGAAAATCAAACAAAATGCCACAAGCAGCAATCTTGAAGCAAATTCTAAAAAGATGTTCGAGTTTGGGTAAGAAAAACAGCTATAACGATGAAGATCATCTTCCGATCGACGTGCCAAAAGGACATTTTGCGGTTTACGTTGGAGAAAATAGAAGTCGATACATCGTACCTATTTCTTTTTTGACTCATCCCGAGTTTCAATGTCTCCTTCGACAATCCGAGGAAGAATTTGGGTTCGATCATGACATGGGAATTACAATTCCATGCGAAGAAGTTGTGTTCCGGTCACTAACTTCAATGCTTCGATAAAAGTTTGGTGCACTAAATTTTCGTTATGTGCGAGTGAATATTAGGAGTGGAGTGAACAAGGATGGGCTAGCTCAAGATGAAGCAAATATTGATGTTTTTTTTTGCTTGTCTTTTTTCTAACATCCACTAAATTTTTCACTCTATTTTTTTTTTAATTTTTGTAATTTAATTTCTTCTAACCCTGACCTAGGAACTACATGATATTATTAGTAGTGTTTTTTATGGGTCAGAATGAGATTTGTAAACAAATCTTGTGAAATTTTCCTTGCAGAGGTGTTTTTTAGCACCCTGTGAGAGAAGTGAATTGAATGTCTCTCAATCTAATTGATTTGTCATTTCATTCTATTTCCATTTTTATTAAGTGCATCTTCAATTGTTTAGGAAAAAAATTCAAATTAAGAACGATTCTAGTGAGAATAAAATTAATAATAGACGGAAATACCAATGTAATTCACTAATATTCAGAATGTTTCACCCCTAACAGGAGATTTCGAGTTTGAGCTCTGAGTATGGTGGATAAAATTTTGTTGGAATCGTCAACTTCAAATGAACTTCGTAGTGCGCAATTCAAATTCTGTTAGAACTTTAAAGTGCACTTCAAACACCGAATGAAAAATTGAAAAAGAAAATAATGTAATTCATATAATTATAACTCTCTAGGTATAGCGAGTGCAGAGTACACAAGAATACCTTGCAAGATAAATTCGCTTAAGATATGTTTTAACCGTATACTTCCTCCGATCAATTTTATTCCTTCATTTTGAAGCTGGCATATCCTTGGCTGAATAATGATTAATTTAATATAATTATCTTATCACAATATTTGCATAAATTAATTTTAGTTCTTAAAAAATAATTTGGAGAATAACTATTTATGTTGAAGATAAAATGGGGTATCTTAGTAGCATAGGCGGGACCTACCCACGTATTCGGTAACTATAGAAAAAATCATGTATATCTATTTTGAGAAACTGACAGATAGTGAAAATAATTTATAGTGCATTCATGAAAAGCATAAAAGTGTTCTTGCGCTGGTGGTACAAGCTAGAGAATCCACCTGTGAGACCTAGATTTGAATCTAGCTAGAATGTTTTTATACTATTTTTAACTTAAGTTTATGTTAGAGCTCATATATGAGCTAAGGTAATATTGGTGCATTCAAAATCTTCAAATTCTAAATTCGCCGATTCCACCTTGTTGATGAGAGTTTGATTCCTACGTTGAAATCTCTTCCCTCCTTTTATTAATAAATGTGAAAAAAACATTTTTAAAATACTAGTTAAATAAAAATTAATAAAAACGAAGAAGTCTATTACATACTTTCTTCGTTCCTACATTCTTGTTATTTTTACAAAAAATATTTAAGTAATTTAAGAATGAAAAGTATACTTTACTTGTTCCTACTTTATTAGTCATAGGAATAAGGGCTGAGCTAGGTAAAATTGAAAGTGCTTATGAACTCTTTATAGTAGAAAATTACACATCTATGTATAGCTAAATTTACTTATTTTTGGGGCAAAAAAAAAGATCGAGTCTTAAATAAATTATTAGGAACTTCGATTAGGTCTAAATAATTAAATTGAGTGTCTAATTGTAATTTTAAAAATATTGAGAGCGGCAAGCGGGTATTAAAATATTCAAAACACAAATTCTTTAATTAATCTATAATACAAGGATCTCTGGTCATCACACTACCATTTTTTTATAAAAACAAAATAAGGACAAATACTTCTTAGTCATCGGTTTATCGTATATACTGTGATTATTAATTACTAATACTGATTACGCCCAGTGAACTCTTCTTAATATTCCAAAGTGTAAACAAGTTGGTACTTTGTTGAAGGAAAAAAACAATTATTATTATATACTTGGCATCGTATTATATTCTTGATGAATTTATATTATATACGATAGTAGTGCGTACGAATTTTACTTACTAAAAATATTATTTGTATCCTTTTGTCTTTTCGTAAACATCTAAAAATACTTTCTATATTTCCTGTTCTGCAAAAATAACATTATAACACATAGGTTAATTAAAATATTAATATATAATCAAAGCATCAAGTTGTTGTCACCTATAATCTTGTTTTGTTTCTTTTACAAATACGTTGGTTTTTTTTCAGAAATTAATTAATGTGCTTATTTAGTTGTAGTCGCACAATTATTTTGCCAGCATAGAAAAATACGACCTAATGAATTTGCTTAGTGAATCTTTCAACTACTTATTCACCTACGATAATCAATGCTCTCCGATATCATTTGCTACGTGAAATAAAATGAAATATAACAATTGGCTATTTCACCTTATCTGATAAAATTACTTCAGATTATATTATTTGTATACTAAATGAGTCGTTTTAATTAGGGTTACTTACTTCGTCAAAGAGATCTAAACAAATGTAGTGTTTTTTTTTGCAAATGCTGAAAGTGTAACTAGTTTTATGTTTTGTTGGAGGCTTGAGACGCAGTTGTTGTGTTCAAGGGCTCTATAGGTGTACGTTTTTGCTTTAGTAATGGTAATGTTTACATGTTTATCAAAAAAAAAAATCGAACAAATATTATACTTTTTATGTGTAATCTGATTACGTAAATATTATACGTTTTATATGATGGGGATATTATAATAGTACATTTTTATCTTTTTGGATTTGAGAAGATTTTCTCAAAATTAAATTTAATAAATTCTAAATACTTTATTTGAACAATATCATAAAAAATCTAACAGTTCACAATATCCAAATTAATTAACAGCTTTTATGTAGAGACAAAATTAAACCTACAACGGATTGGATCCATATTTTCAACAACTTCAACCGTTGTCATTACGACTTCCAATATATCTCTTAGATCATATTATGCTATTATTATAATTTAATTCCAAATATCACCTAAATTAATTAATTAATTGAAATCTTTTGTGTCGTGAATGAATAAATTAGAGATATCAAATAATGAGTTGTTTGGTAGGGTTTAAGCAATCGATCAAAGATGATCAAAAATTTGTTTTGGTCAAGATCGGTCAAATAATAAGTCATAACTCAACTCATTCAATACGACCAACCTTCTTCCCTTTCTTTTTTTATTTTTTTTATTGTGAAAAATATGAAAGGATATTTTTAAAAATTATTAGCTTAATTAAGTTCTTCCAAATTTACTTAATTTTCCAATTTTAAAATTTGATTTTCCATATTTGTATTTTGGCTGCAATATTTTAATTCACGGGGGTTACAATGCTTAACACATTTCAATTTAACTCAATAATTTGATGGGGCATGACCAACTCATTAAACTTGATGGATTGGACAAGTTACCAAAAAAATCAATCCACCTCTACGATATATATATTATCATGTAAATCATGAGACCGTTCCACTCCTAATTAAAAGGTTTTGAGTTATGTGGATAATGTGTCCCTCAAATAGGTCGTGAGCGATCTAAATTTAGTTGGTGCTTTCCTACGACTTATGATGGTGAATCACACTAATTGAACTTGTCATGCAAATACATAACGTCTATCACGGACATGCATGAACTGAATATATATAATATGTGTGAAATTCTTAACGATATAATAAAACCCTACATAAAATATGAGCTAGCTATCTAATATATATATAGCTTATTTATGATCCTCTGGGACCAACACAATAATAATAATAATAATAATAATAATGAGCTAGCTAGCTACAAAGTTGGTCCTATATATCTTTAATTCTCTCTTTGGGTCATTTTCTCTTTTTATTTCAACCACAAAAGTTTTCTGACAGTAGCAACTCTTTTTCCTAGCATAAATAATTAAATACAACTGCAAATTAATTAAATTGCCTTCTTTTTGTGCCCACAAAAATTAAATATAGTAGGAATGAATTATATCCTTTTTTTTGTGCTTCAACATGTATTGATTTTTCTACTGACCAGTATTTATTTTGTGTTGCTGCTCATATTGATCACAGAATTCCCATCTTCCTCTTAAAAATATCTTCCCTAACATCATCAATGCCATATACAGGCGAACAAAAACTTATGAATTTAACTGAACTTAATATTTTTACGTAATCATTAACATATATATGAATAATCATGAAGTATCAGTGAATATTAAAAGTTAAACTCATATATATCTAAAAAGTATAATATGATTTTTGTTATTGAGTCTAATTATTAAATTTTAAATCTATCTCTGAATTCTGATCGATCAACGCATGCATGGCCCTCGTTGGCTCGTTCTTCTTCATCATTCATTTCTTCTATTTTTTCTTCTTTACTTACCGTACGTACTTAATTTATTGATTGGGTCCAAATTATAATAGCTAGGGCTAATTATTACAATTATTATTTTTGAATTTATAGTACGTACTTCACTTGGTAGATAAAAGGTCCTTATCTCTCATTATAAAAGAAAAGTTTTAGAATGATGAAACATTCGAGCTTATATAAGTTTATTATTATTATTATAAAGCTAAGTGAGATAAAAGTCTTCTCATTGGATAAAAAAAAGGAAGAATTTTCTTTTACATAGGTCAGCCAATATAGATGATTATATTTAACTATATTAAATTTTTTTCTCTCAATTATATGCGGGGTGTGTAAAAATCGAACCGATCAATAAATCAAACCGATAAAATGTTATTGGGTTTAGAAAAAATAATTATTGGGTTATTAGGTCGTTCTCGGTTTTTCCTATTGGGTTATTGGGTAAACCGATAACCCAATAAGACGATAGTTATTTACTACTTTACCCTTCCTCAATATTAAATATACATAATTTAATACATAAATAGATTCAATGTTAGCTTTTCAGGCTATTTGATTTTTTGGTTAGGAAATTGGTGATAACTTTGTTGATTATCTGGTGGATCAAGCAACTGTTCAAGATTGTCTCATTGAAATATTTAATTTTAGTTCGTAATTGTAGGCAATAGCTTTTGCAAGTTTGTGAACGTTAGTATATTATGTTTTGGCGGTAAGTTGGTAACATGTAATTATAACATACGTACTATTATATATTATTTGATCGACATTTTCTTATTGGGTTAACCGAAACCGAACCGATAACATCAAAAATCGATAAATCGATAAAAAATTTCTTATTGGTTTGTTATTGGGTTAGCATATTTTAAA